GTTGCTGTTTCCTTTAATTTGTCACCCGTCTGCCCTTTAAAAGTCTGCGTTTCGCAATTTATCTCGTTAAAACTATCGTTGACAGACAGATCCTATGCATCCAAAAATAGGTTAAAAGCCTTGAGTTATTCAAGTCAATAAGTGCTCGACACTTGCAGTGAGCCGTCGCACTTCGCTCTGCCTCATCAGTGCTCGCTCCTATGGCGTTATTTTAGACGACACGTGGAGGCTGGTATGCATAGGTGTCGGGAGGTAAGCGAAAGTTCGTCTGACGCCATCGCACTCCCTTCGCTTATCTCCTCCTCGAAGCCTCTTTTTTTTTTTTTCTCTCCCCCTCCCCTCGCAACTCGAAACTATCCTCCATTTTTCTTTGCGCTAATTAACAGGCAGGATGGTGATTAGTTATGAGGCAGAGCTCCCCCACCCCTCCGTCATCCTCCAGACTCGGAGGTGTGTTTTCTCTGCCACTGGAACATGTGTTAAAAGCAGCTGGGTAGTCACAGACAGCTCCGGAGCAGTGGGGGGAAAACATGCGCTGAGTCTATAGCTTCTGTTCATGCAAACACCAGCTACAGGATATAAACACACACCCTTGAGATAGCTGTCATATGTGCGCCAATCCGCACACACAGACGCGCACATCTGGGTTCATTTTGAGATGTTTTCCTCGCTTTTTTGAAACACACACACACACACACACACATCAGCTCTTGTGCTCCCGTTTCCCTCTTTGGAGATACAGACCCCCAAACTACTCGAAGCGCGTCATTATCTCGCATTGTTTATCATCCATTCAGGCATTCGACACCATGTTCACGCAAACACATTTACAAAGCATTGTTTGCATTTCATTGAGGGATGGCTGAGCTTATTTCACAGTGCTACAAAGATGGTAGGAGGGGGAAGAGATGAAGACGTAGACAAACAGAAAGCAAGCCCAGACGTAAACAGATAGCCAGACAGGCATTTTGCCTTCGGGTTTGTGATTCAGAATACTAACAAGGCATCTTAGCTCACACCCAGGGATGGAAGGTGTGATGTATGGCAGAGCCGAGCGATGGGAGAGGGGAGGGACGGCTTACCCTTGAAATCTGACTGGCCGTCTTGGGTGCCTCCCTGAATTTTGCGGCGCATCATTGGCTGTTTGACACAGTTTGTCCCACTGACTTAAAAGAGGAAAAAAAAAAAGGGACGGTGCATGCATTTTATAGCGAGATTCAGTTTTGATTCAAGAGGGATGCCCGACTTATTGCACTCATGAGATTTCACATTGAATTTGAGATTAAGTGTGTCCATCCTCTCCTTAATTTAAATCCACTCTCCCGCTGTGGCTCTGACTTATTTCCCCCCCCCATACAAAGCAGTTTTAATTTGGTAATTAATCTGATATATTTGCGTTTGGGCTGGTGCTTTACGCATCATATGGCGTGTTCTTTTGCATATTCCATTTCACTGTAAAATGTTCAATCACATTTAATGGTCTTTCTGGATGGTGATTAATGAGCATTTTGAGATGGATATTCAGTTTAACGGTATTTCCCAAAGCATCTATTTCAGATCACTTAAATCATGTTGGCTTTTGCCCATTTCTTCCCTCCGCTGAGTCATTACGAAGCCGATGCTCTTCAGGACAGAAATTGTCACATCTCTTAAACTGCTACTTTTGTACGATGCAATAATTAATTAAACCAGCACCTCGTAAGATTTGATAAACTCGTAAACAGTCTGTTTGTTTCCATTTGCAAAAAAAATATTCGGTATTTCTGGTTTTTGGTCAAGAATGTTCTCCGATATTCAGCCCAGGTAGAGTCTGTTATTAGCTCCTGCAAAACAGAAAACAACATAATCTTGTGTCTGTGCATGAAAGGAAGATTTGCAAAAAAGAGTTTGGAGAATACCGGGGTTTTGCATTAGTCATTTTTCAGGCTGATTAAGAGGTAGAAGTCTGGCGGTGGGAGAGACAATGACAGGAGAGAATCAGGTTCTTTATCCCTCTTTGGTTGCCTGAGCACAAAACTATAGAGGTTTTTGTGTGTTTTGCTTATTACTTTGGAAACGAAATGACACAAAGAGTTGGAGGTTTAAGATTTAGCGGGTTTAATTCAAGGGTATTTTGTCACACATCATTTGAACGGTAATGAGTCCCACTATTTAAAGGTGCAGTTAGGCAGATTTTTACTGCCACATCAGGCAAAATGACTGTTTCAACAATCACACCCTGTAGCGTCACAGGGGTGATGTTCACCACGAAGGACACGCACATCTCCAAGAACCTGTACAAACTTCTTTTTTTTTTTCTTCTCTCCACATCTTGCAGTGTAACTAACAATGATAATAGTGTGTAAGAAATGATTCAGTTTAATTTGAAAGGCATGTTTTGTAGTGAGGAACCTTGTATCACTCTGCAGTTCCCTTCAGCTCTTTGGAACATCACGGCCTTCTTCTGCTCATTGTTTTGGTTTTCTGCTCGGGAACATTTAGATTCCCTCTCCTCCGCTCTTGTTTTCAGTCGATTCCAGCAGCAGAAACAGCACAAACAACAACACCATTCTCATAAAAAGTCAGCCAAATACGAACTTTTCAAGCACAAAAAGGCAAAAGTTAGCGACTTGCTGTTGTACATAGTGGAGCGATTTCCAGTGAGATATTCATGAATTTCTTTTTTTTTCTTTGCTAAAATATTGAAAAAGAGTAAATAGGACATTGCTGACAAATCTGCAATGTCAGAGGGAATGTGCCAATGTCAGTGCAGTGAAAAAGCTTTTTCGAGAAATTCTGAATTCTCAGTTGAATATCTTTTTTTATTATTATCTTGTGTTTAGAGGGAGCTGCATGGCGGCGCAGGTGGTTACCACTGTTGCCTCGCAGCAAGAAGGTCACCGGTTTGTGTCCCAGTGAGGACACCTGAGATCTTTCTGCGTGGAGTTTGCATGTTCTCCCCGTGGGTTCTCTCTGGGTTCTCCGACTTCCTCCCACAAGTCCAAAAACATGTTGAGGTTAATTGGTCATTCTAAGTTGTCTGTAGGTGTGAATGTGAGTGTGCTTGGTTGTCTGTCTCTAAGTGTAGCCCTGTGATAGACTGGTGACCTGTCCAGGGTGTCCCCTGCCTTCACCCTGAGTCAGCTGGGATAGACTCCAGCCCCCCATGACCCTAGTGAGGATTAAGCGGTGTATAGATAATGGATGGACATAATGTAAACACACATTCTTTAAGTTTGATAATTAGGTCTGCTATGCCATTGTTGCAGTATCATAGGTTATGCTGTCAAAGAAAGATGGATGGATGGATGGATGTGTTTAGAAGTTATTTGTGATGCATAATTTTGTGCAGAAATTACACAGCATCAACTAATCTGCGAGACAACCTTGCCTTTTGCCGCTTCACCCGCCATAGCAGCAGCAGCAGGTTCCTCTGGAGCTGCAGAATCGACCAGACAGGTGCAGATTGCAAAAAAAATGGGCCCCCAGTGAACATCGCCACGCAGCTGCATTTACACAAAGCTCATTCTAGATTGTATCGACTGGAGGGATGCTCTCTTTAAGCTAAGGTATACAGTATAGCGCCAACCTTCACAGAGCGATCAGCTTTGAGTGTTAGAGTGCCAGCGTGAACACCATTTTTTTTTTGTCTTATATCAGTGGTGCGGTTCTGCTGCATTATAGAGGACACCAGAGGAATGGGAAACTGTGCATACTGAGCTGAGACACTCTGAGCAAATGGAGCTGAAACTGCAGCTTGAGATGTAAAAACAAAGGATTCTGACAATCTTATCACAGTTTTCACTCTGATCCCGTCTCTAACCAACAACTTCTGATCTCCGCAGCTGTTCGCTGTGTTTTACATGGCTCACTTCTTGCTTTTTCTATTTTACTTCAAGCTATCAGGTCAAGCTAAACTGAGCCAAAGTGAATGGCCCCTTTTCTGCTTGTCACTCATCCAATACATTACGCTGAATGTGGGATCTGTGGCACTGGTGGAAATGCGGTGGACAGATATTGATGGATAATGTGTGAGCGTTAAGCCCCTGCAGTTTGCCAACAATATATCATCGACCGATGGAAAAGAAAAAAAAAATATAGGCAATTCTGACATATTGCTCGCTCATGTACAAGTTTATGTTGAAACAGACACATCAAAGCAAATCCCCCAATTGTCTCGCCTAAGCTTTGAAAGAGCAGAGGGATGGATCAGCCCACTGAATGTGCTCGCACTATAGCCACTATTGAAGACGCTTAAGTCTCTTTGAGACAAAAACCATTGAGGATTGTGCCAAACATGGCGCTGAAGAAGTAGCTCCGAGCTTCTCCCCCTATGTTTTTGTGTAATTTTGTGGTTCATAACAGAATTTTTCATTTTATTTATTCAGTCAGGACGGGAACTGTATCACAGTGATCACGCAGAACGCAAAGGCTACGGCTGAAATATTGCAACACGCACGTTAAATGTTATAATTTCAGTGGATATATCAATGACAGTTGCTGAGGGATCTGCAGGCATCAACAGTGCCGGCATATTTATTTGATGATGAAGGCAAATATTTGCACTGTGCCAGGACTTTGTTTATATGAGTGTTCCAAATATGGCAGCTTCCCTTCCACTGTAGATCTTGCGTCGTCTGCATCACGCCAAGTACTCTCCATCCCAGTACCCCGTTTTCTTCCACTGGGAACTGGCATTCCTGTCAGTCATGCGCTATCAGTGTGGCTGCAGGCGCTGCTCGGGTCTGCCCAACTGTCTTCCCCTTCCTCTCTTTTCTTCTCAACCCCACCCCTCTCCACAGTTTCTGTGTATCTCCCTCCAGCACCTCAGTCCTCACTTTTTACCATCCACTCCTTCGTCTGTAGCGGCTCTTCCCGTTGTCGACTTCTTTTTTTTTTTTTTTCCCTCGTCTTATCTGGAAGTCTGTTCAGCTGATAGTTTGTTCTGTACTTTGATAGTTCATGCTTGGTTTGTCTTCCTTTTAATCTCAAATCTGTCTCTCTCTCTCTCTCTCTCCCAGGTGTAAGGAGGGCTATCATGGACTACGCTGCGACCAGTTTGTACCCAAGACAGATGCTATCTTGTCAGACCCAAGTACGCTCTCTGTTCTATTTTTCATTCCACAGTCTTGGTGTATTGATCTGCAACATGAAAACAAATTCATAACAAGCACATGTTACATGCCCTTGAGCAATTCTCTGACTATACTGTATTTGTCAAGGAGATAAACACAAAAGGGAGGCCGGCCTTAAATTAACCCTCGTAGTGCAGGATTGTGCAGTCTGCTAGACCTGCAATACCGCATAGGAGGAATGTTTTTACAGGAATTTAAAAGCAAAAAAGTAGAATGAAGAGTCTTCAGGGGGAAAAAAGGTAATGTTTTTCTGCCACTTTGGTATATAAACATGTGTAGTTACAGTACACAAGAGGTAATGTTGTAATATTTCTGTATGTAATTTCACAGATGTTTTCAGCTGCTCCAGTATCTACTTAAGCCTTCATATAACCGCAGGTGATCACACACTGATTAACAGCGTCATAATGTGGAGGTTTCCGTGTGAATAGGAATGCAAGCAATTATTAAAGCAATAAAAAAAAAAGAAGCATTATTTAGTTAGCAGACAAAATGTGTATCATGAGACTGGGTTTCTTTATTGGCCTACATAGATGCCACCACACAGATATTAGAATTAAACCCCGCGCATAAAACCTCATGCATCTTTTATTATGGTCTTTAATCTTACTTTTTTTTTGCTTTAGTTTAGCCAAAAGGAAAGGAAAGTCTTCGGTTTCCTATTGTTCATGAAAAACAATTCCCCTGAAGTCTTTGAATCCCCACGACGCCGGCGCGGTGGTAGTTAAAAAATAAAGCAAAAGTCAGAGGTACAAGGAAGAGAAATTGGAGGCCCCGAGCTTTTCCCACGAGACTGCGGCTTTACAAATTCACACTGTTTCGCGGGGCGGCTCGGGCACCTCTTGCACCAAGAGTCGGCGAGAAAACTTAACTCCCATCGCCTTGTGTTGGATTCCGCCAGGCGTCACTGAGAGTCCATTAATGGGGTCACAAGCCGGCGTCGTGAAGCATGTTTTATGCTCTCACATGGCACTCAGTTTTCACAGTGGGATTTATTTTATCTGTGATAGAGCAACATCAATTCTCTCCGGCAAGTGTCCAGCTCAGGAGATTTTTTATGTTGCTCTTTAAAATGAGCTGAATCTCACTGTGGTTTTTTTTTTTTTGCACAAAAAGCAAAGAAATAAATGCATCGCTTATGGTGCACGCTGATTTATTCAAAACATATAAGAGAAGAAGAAGTTTTAACACATTCAGAAGACAATAAACTGCATTTTAAGGAGCAGCATCTTTTAGCCGAATAAACAGCCCATAAATTAGTTTGATCATCATGCGGGAAACACAACACTTCAGAGAAAGGATTTTCCAGCCACTATAAGCTACTATTTGCACAGTTGCTGCTCTTATTGTAATAATTACAGCGAGTTGCAGCCAGATTAGTTAGATTTAGTGGTTGTTTACCTTTTCATAACGTGACCCCCTTAAAACAAACAGCAGCAGCAAAACCCATGCGTCTGTTTAGTTCTTTTCTTCTCAAACTGAATTCCTTAATTCACGTCGAGAGGCCTGTTATCCGGTAACAGGCGCAGCAAAGACACGATTAGAGCAAAAATCTAAACAGATATGTTTAGTTGCTGAATCATTATGATTATGATTCACACATCAGAAAAAAAAAAAAAAAAGTATGGGGAATTATAAAAATTACTCAGCATTTTAATCAGAATACTCGCCTCCAGCTAGAAGAAGGATTGCAGGAGAAAATTAGCCAGCTGGCTAATGCTGGAACATTTACGGAAATGCTGATTAATGTTTGTCGGCTAAAAAAAAAAAAGGAAGATAGAAAAACAAGATGTGGATGTAGTTAGTGTTTGAGAAAATTTCGAGGGAATGTAGATGCAGACAAATAGATATATGGAATAACATCTGCACATGTTGCAGTTATTACTTATGTCACAGTACTATTTTGAATCTGGCAACCCTGTCTCCAGAAATCACATCTCTGTACAACTTCTCATTACTTTGAGTTTTTACACTTTGTGGTAAAATTCAACTCTTTCACAGCATGTTTGAAGCTTCCCCTCTGTGTTCAAGGCTACCAGAGAGTCCTACCTAATATGTGACCCATCTGCACTAAATCAGTCGCATCGCACCTTGGGCCATATCTGAGATGCAGAATTACAGAATGATAAAATATTGATTTTGGGTTTATTACGCTCCATATCGCTGTCAAATACCGACAACGTGCATGAGAAGTAACACCAGAAAGAAGCCGCGAAAATCACCTGTGCGCAGGCGCCGCGAGCGATGTGTCATCGCCAGCCAATCCCGTCACGTGATTTGCGTCATGTGGTGGCAACATGCAGCTTTTGTTTACGCAGAACAACCCAAGGCACAACGCGACTGATTTCATGCAGATGGGTCAATGGTTGGCTAAAAAGGAGCGACAGTAAAGCAGTTTAACAAATGACTAATATATTTTGATTTGAACTTATTGTGGTATCATTGAAAATACACTTAAGTTGAATAAATTTTTTAATTTTAACAGACAGAGCTGTTGAAAGAGAAGGAAGCCTGTCACACATCACATGTGAACTCTTGTTGCTCAGAATCATTCCAATGTTTCTTACAGTTCTAATGATTTGAAGATAAAGATAAACTTTATTGATCCCACAGTGGGGAAAGTTCACCATTACATTATCTTTATCTTTATTTTTTTTTCTCAATCTTTCTTACAGTTCTAATGATTTCGCCAAAGCTTTTGCTACAGAAAGTATTTCAGGATTCGTTTTGTGCTTTCTTATGCTTTCTTCATTCAGTTCTGTTGCATCGATCTGTATTCGCGCTCCAACTCTCCCGTACATATTGTTGCGTCTCCCTGGAAGCCTTGAAAGCCTGACTAACTCTGACCCTGTATGTATCAAACTATGAAATGGAACTACATGATAAATCCAAGTATTTATCAGAAGTGGTTGTGTAGAATTGATTGATGGATGAGAAAATGGTGCACCACATCCATCAAATTCCATTTTTTAAAACAAGACTGTAACATGTCAAATTGTTCAAAACCTGTTGAAGAAATCTTCAGGAGTAAATCTGTGCCTTGAACACACCCCCAGCCTTATTAGATCAAAATATTGTAATACAAAAAAACCTGCATGCAAAATTGTTTTGATCCCAACCCTTCAATGGCTCTAACCAATAACCCTGAAAGATTTGAAAGGGGGGAATGAAGCCTATTTTGATCTCTTGTTGATAAGAAGTGATCTAAAATTTACCCAGATTACCAAGGGTTTGGAGGATAATCCTGCTTTCAAAATCCAAATCATGTAATAACATACACAAATACATGCACACACTCACAACAACAACTACGAGTGGGACCAGCTCCAGTGAAATTCAATTCATAGCGTGCATGTGGAAGTCAAGGGTTTTTTCTATCAGTGACATGGCGGCATTAAATAAAAATCACACCCTGGGGTTGGAGGGAAAAAAAAAAAAAAAAAAAAAAAAAAAGTTTCATCTACCTCGCACGCTTTCCCGCTTTCATTTATTTATTTCTCTTTAAATCAATCTCTGTGCACCTTACAGTCACAGATCATTCAATGCCCCTTATCCTTTGTCTCGGTATTGACCGACGGGGGGGAAAAAAAAAACCCCGACTCAAAAGAGCAGTTTGTTCCGGCTCTGCCACTCTGTCAGTCACAGATCCTAACAGAGGTAGAAGGAGAAGTGGCGGAAACTGTCCTGCACATCACAGAAGCACAGGGACAAAAAAAAACCCACCATGCACTCCAGCTACACTGCTGTGAAATCAGCTTTGGAAATGAAGTGGGGAGATGGTGCTGGGGGTCTCACGTATTGGTGCACAGTGGGGTTCTGGTGGGGTCTTTAATTGGAGGCATGGCTGTGTGGAAAGACTGCAGTTTAGTTTATACCTGGCAAAGAACCTGAATGAGTTTCTCTCTTAACTGTGAGAGACGCTAATGGTGTTCAGTGGGGCACCTTTGAGACCACGCAGATGATGTTTGGTTTAAGATTAGAGAAGGAGAAGAGGGAGGTGGGCCTTTTCTTTGGTTTTATCCAGCTGGTACAAAAAGAGGGAAGAAGGCAATCCTCTAATTTGAACTATTTATCTCCTGTGGATATTAGGCCTGAAGTACGTAGCTGCACAGGATATTGGGTTGAATAACACACGGACACACACACACACACACACACACACACACATTGGCTCCTCAGTTCCCTGCTCACCCAAGTGAAGGAGGGGATTAAGGATTTGATTCACTCCCGCCATTGTCTCTCCCACCCGCCAGATTCCTGCCTCTTAATCGGGCCAAAAGCATCTGACATGATGCACAGGTATTCTCCGAGCTTACTCGAGGCTCCCACAAGACGCCGTAAATGATTCTCCGGGGCGCTTTGAGTTGCCAGTGCGAAGGATTGGGAGCCTGCGCATATTATGATTGGTGAATGTCTCCAGACAAGGCAATGCCAGAGGAAGGGATGTGTATCAGGGATGTAATGACATCATCTGCACAGGCTGTGACAGTAAGGGCGATTTAGAGAGGTAAAGTGTTGGCTCTTGCCACGGGCAATCACGGGGAAAGGTTTGAATGGATAATACAGATCAGGCAACATCAGTGGGATGCTGCATTCACTTCTTTGGCCTTGCCAAGTGTCTGCACCGCAGCGACAGTAAGCGCCGGCAAACAAAAGTGGCGGCCATGTCTTGATCACGCAGTTGCACATCGGATGGCTCTGCTGTGTTTTTGTTTGTGAGTTGCTAAGAGACTGACTGATGATTCAGGAGGAGCATATATGCGTCTGATTATTCCCTAATAATAAATACTAACGCAGAAATGTTCCTCAAGTCTGCCAGGGGAAACCAGACTCTATACTGTGTTCAGTAAAAACACGATGACAGCTGCCTCCAGTTAAACAGAACCATAAATTAATTTGTAAATTGATTATTTTGAGAGCTGCAGACCTGCTTTTTTTTCCCGAGCTGTTTTCCTTCTTGTTATCACTGCAATCACGACAACCGCCGCGCCTCGTTAAGAACCCCGTCTGGCAATTGTGGAGTAAATAGCAAAATTTGACTTTTATTTTAACATTTGCAAGTCTGAATGCTCTCTGAAACTTCCCTTAAATGTCATTTTAAGGAAGTTTGCCGACTGTATTTCAAATTTATTCGTTCACATTAAAAAGGAGCCATTTCCTGAAATCACCCACCTTAATAGAGTGAAATAGCTCTCCGCAATTATTATCATCCATTCATCCAAGTGTTCATTTGTCTTTCGCCTACCTGGATCTCACTCACGTTCCTCGGGGTGTTTTTATTTTTCCTTCAAACTTTCTTCAAACAAAAGCCACAGCGCTGACAGATTTCCCCATGGTACAATCAAAATGCCTTTTTTTTTTTTTGCTTGCTTTATAGCCTCTTTTTTTTTTTGGTGTGTGTGTGTGTCCAGCACATAATCTCCAGGCCTTGGCATTCTATTTAAAACTCAGACCACCTCTGTCAGAAAAGCAATTACTAGTGAGGGTTTCATTTTAATTTAAATAAGATTACATTACAGTGACATGAAAAGGGGGCACTGTCAGGATGGAAAGAACACGAGTGCTCCGTTTTATCTGTTCCCCCAGCACTGGGATTGAAGGAAAAGACTTAACTGCATGAAAAAAAAGGCTGTGTGTGTGTGAGTTAGAGAGTGTGTGTGTGTCAAAGTGTGTGTGTGAGAGAGAGAGACAAAGAAATACAGACAAGGGTATACCATACCGTATGGGCGCACATGCATGTGAACGTGTGTGTGTTAGCGTGACGCATCTCAAAGCTATGCTCGGAGACAGCGGAGAACAATTACTGCAATGCCTCAGGCTGGAATCAATATGGAGAAGAAAAAAAAAAAAGCCCGAGCAAAGCAACATCACTGACATAAAGCTACATGATATGTCATTTTCAACTTTTATTTTCATGATCCTTCCTCTAATCCTCTCAGCCCCCATATCTTTGTTGTTTTTCTTTCTTCCACTCGAAGCCACTGCGGGCTGTGTGAATTCAGGGTATCACGGAAAAGCATTCCAAGCGTCTGGGGCTGGCTGGCTCATTACCTGGTTGCACAGGGGGGAAGCCATGTCTGAGAAAGCCGTCAAACCAACTTTATGGTCTACTTGCTGCATGTGTCTCTCCCTAAGGTGAATTCTGAGTAAGACAGAGTCGCATCATGTTGTAACTGTTTTATGCTCTCTCTCTCTCTTTCTCTTCCCCTCTCCCTGTCTCCTCTTCCTTCCCTTTTTTTTTCTCTCCTCCCAATGCCGCCTGCCCTTCAATGCAACAGCGGATGAACTTGGGATTGAGTTCATGGGTAAGACAACTTTCCGCCGACTGTGTTGGAGTGCTCAATTTTTCATGTGCCTTACATCTGTGAAATACCGCATACAAAACACACAATCCGGCACAACAAGGCCGATCACCTTGGAAAATTAATGTGGGCCAGTCGCCATGGAAACACCGTGGTGGTGAATTAGGTGTATTCTGTCTGCATGAAGAACAGTACTGCGAGAGACGCGTGATGTAATGACGATGGAGCAAAGACAGACGGCAGCAATCCATGTTCTGGAGTCATTTGCATTTGAGCAGCAGCAGCAGCAGATGAAATTTAAATGATGTACCATTTTCTGCCCGTCTGTGTTCTGTGGTACCGTACGTATGGAACGACGGGTTTAACGGGAGGACAAACACAAGAAAAAGTCCACCAGTGCAATGAGAGCCAATAAATTTCAAACTCTTTGGATTCCCACTGATATTCCTTCAGGTGCTTTTTTCGCCTTCCAGGTGGTTAAAAAATCTTTAAAAACCAAATTATCTGGCCCTCTTCCTTTGATAATGACGCACTGTTCTCTGTCCAGAGGGAATATACAATCTTACCCCCCACACACTCTCTAACACAGTCGCAGTGTTTTTTATTTCCTCTTCTGCCGTCTTTCTCTCGCTCTCTGCTCGGCTTTTGTGCATACATAAAAACCAACATTGCATGCTATGAAGTTTTCCATTAACATGGCTTCATACACTGCTGTCACATCACACAGTTGCTCCAGGAAATAGAAAGAGGGAGAAGACGCTCAGGAAGAGAAGCCTGCCCCGCGCACAACATTCCTCAGTTCAGTGATTTTAATCTGGGGACTAAATTAGTTCAGAATGCTACTGCAGGTGGGCGGATGCATTAGAGAAAATGAGAACAGGATTGATCGATTGATAGCCAGACACATGACAGACAGAAGCGCAGATTGTATTTTTTTTTTTTTTTGGCTCCGAGGTAAGCAATGTGCATGCTCCCTTCTTTCTTTTTTTTTATTATTATTATTTATTGTGTTCCATTATGACTTCCTGTTCTGCTTTATCAATGAATCTGGTGGTAGCTGTTATATAAGTCCAATATGTGACAGTCTGAGGCAGCCAGTCACAATACAGCAAAGCTCTGTTTGAAGTGGGATTGAGTGCTCTCAATGTGATCTTGTCTTTTGATTTCCTTGCATTCTTTAGCCCGGCAGCCGAAGCCCTGTGTGTCTCACTAGTTCACTGTGATGTATTTTAGGCTGAATGCCCCAGTTTGTCATGGATACTTTAGCATGGTCTTCATTATACTGTGGCATTTTATTCTAGTCAAGTCTGGAGTGGTTGCAATGGCATAGCTGGCCATAAGGGATTGTCTTGTCCTTGTGTCAATATAACATGGCTTATCCAGTATTGCTAAGTCTGCTCACTTTGTTCTGTTTCCTAACATGCTCTTGCATCTAATTTCAAGAATGCCTTGTAGGCATCGGGCATGAAAGGCCTGTAATGGCTTTATGTACAGACTGCATGTCGGTTTTTCCTTGCAGCTATTCAGCGGCGCTTTGTAGACAGCTGTTTTTATGTTCAGATTTTGGAAAAGCCTATTTCATCCATCAAAAAAAAAAAAGCAAAGGCTTGTCTCAGGTGGTGCTCCACATGAGCACTGATGATGCAGCAGCAGGCAACGATATTTCCTATATATTTCAAATATGCAACCATCAAGAGGTCATTTCACTGATGGCGAAGGCCGGAGGGTTTACAGGGACACAGAATATACGAGCGACACATCACTTATAAACAGAGAACAGAGGCAGCTTCTGTTGCTCATTTTTAAAGTGCAGCTTCAAGACATCCACTGCGGTGCTGCTGAAAAATTGCAGGATGGGTCAAGAATCTGCAAGTCGAGAGCTTGATGACAGCGCCAACACTGTGTGTGATTGGTTCCACAATGCACCAAACAGCCAGACAAATTCGTCTCAGGCCTGATAATATGTCACAGTTTCATTATGCGGCGTACGAGCATATGTCGGCAGGTAGATTGGAAGAAATGCTGCTCTGTTGTATGTTGATCTTTATTAACCAAATCTAATGTCAACATACACAATATGACAGTACAGATGTAGGAAGATCTATTTAGATGTTATTTAGTTCATCATATCCTCAAATATCCATCTTGTTGTCCAAATCACAAATCCAGTATATTATAATATGAAACAGTGTAGCGGTTACATGCCAGCAAGGAATTTCAGAAATTCCTCGCTTCAAATCATCCATCCATCCATTATCTGTACACTGCTTAATCCTCACTAGGGCCACAGACAACCAAGCATCCTCACATTCACACTTATGGACAATTTAGAATCACCAATTAACCTCAACATGTTTTTGGACCTTGTGGGAGGAAGCTGGAGAACCCAGAGAGAACCCACACTGCACGGGTAGAACATGCAAACTCCATGCAGAAAGATCCTGGTTGTCCTCACTGGGGCACAAACCGGTGACCTTCTTGCTGCGAGGCAACAGTGCTAACCACTGCTCCACCCTGCAGCCCCACTTCAAATCAGTATTTTATTTTATCAATGATTATTTTAAAGCTTAAAGCTCGAAGTATGATCACAAGCAATTTGTCATTTTTCCAATCCTTGGTAAGCAATAATGTGTCACAGCTGGCTACTCTGAAAGCAGTTCTTTGGATTGGCTCTATTTTAATTCACAGCCATCTTGCCTCGCTTCCACAGGAGCTGAGTGGGCAGTTTGGCCCTCTGATGTATATATATATATATATATATCCATATATTGTCACTGCAGGATGTGTTCCGATGTTATCCTTTGCCAGAAGCATTCTAACATTAGAAAAGGTTTTCCCTCCAGTTTGAACTCAGTTGCACCATGCTGCCCCTTAAATGTGTTGATGCAGCACTGATGTAATGCAGAAGAAGAAAGTGTGTGTGGAGGAGGGGGGGAGGTGGTGCGAAACAGACTGCTTGGTTGCACTCCGGTGTCCGCTTTGAACGTAGGAAGCTTTCCACCAGTGTCTGCACCCCTAAAACAAGAGCTGAAGGAAGTTGATAAACCTGGGCAGACAAGCACGGATGAAGAAGACCTCCCAGGACAGTTCTCTGTTGACAGCATCAAAAGCCACAGACAAGCCCTCAAAGGTCATGAACAGGTTGCGGTGATGTTTTCTGCACTTTTCCCTCCAGTTGTCAAGGTGGTTGAGATCAGACGCGAGGGGATTTGATTGTTTTGAGTGATTGAGTAATGCCACGGGAGGTCGCGTCTCAGGTCATGAGTGACGGCGGGGCGGAGCCGCTCTGGGCAAGGTCGGGAAGACGGCGTCGCAGCACTAAGTTGCAGGGGCTGTAGATTCGTCGTCAAGAGAGTTTTTTTTTTTTCTTTGATGAGCCAATGCGTGCAACGGCCTCCAACCTCCGCGACGTGCTCCGCGGTAAGTCGCGCGGCAGCACCGCAATCCAGCTGCTCAGTCAGACAGATATCTGCTCGGATCAACTGCTACTTGTCCCAGCTGCTTGTGACCTTAAGCTTCTGCTGCTGATGTGCAGGGGACTGACAAGGAGCTCCGGGAGCATTCATTTGCTGCTAATTCCCTGTCGCCATCAGTCTCTGAATGCTGACACACACACACACGGAGACTTCGCCCGCACACACACACACACACACACACACACACTCGGCGTGGCCCCCGCTGTGCAGACAGTCCATCGGTGTTGCCTGCTGGGTTTGTCTGAACGGAATGATTATCACACTTCAGTTAGCACATGTCACTGAGCCCTGCCTGTGACTGCCATGTCCCTATCCCATGCTCCAACGCTGACATTTACTGACAGCAGCATTGGTCGCTTTATGCTAATGCAGATTGTGGGTGGATGTCTGTGTGTGTGAGGCTGTGTGTCAATACTCCGTTTTTAATGTGTGTTTGGTGTGTTAATTCTTTCGATACAATCAGAGCCGCAACCCCGTATCCTCTGTGCCACGGTGGAAATTCACGGGGCCTGAACTGTATTCTCTCCTCCGCAGAGAGTGGTGACACCTACCAGCGGCAGGTGCTGTCCATCTTCAGCATCGCCTCGGGGATCTGTCTTCTTGGAGTGGCATGTATGGCTCTCTACCGCCGCAACAAGTGAGTGATGCCAGCCAGAACCACATTAGTAGAGTATGCCCCCGGCTGTGCAGAAAGAGCACTTTACTATCATGGCATGGAGCCCAATGAAATTCTAAGTGTGAGTCAGCTAGAGGATGTTTTAGCAGGGCATCAAATCTAAATTGTGTAGGATGCATTTGGGACAGATACTCATGTAAGATTTATTTGTAAAGCGGTTTTAGCAAGCAGGTGTGTCACAAAATGCTTCACGGAAAACAGAAATGCGCAGATACGGCGAGACCCAGGGCGAGTTAAAAAAAAAAACAACACTAGACCCTCGGTGTTTACACGTGTGACAGGATAAGAGGCAACACAAAAGCACATCGACAATTAATCATTGCAGGGAGGGAGAAAGAAAAGGAATGTAGGAAAAGCAAAGTGATGGCAGAGTGAGAAAGGGGAAGTTAATGGAGGTTGGGTTGATTGAATTGGTCTTGATAAACAAAAATGGGGTTTTATTTTTCAATGCTGTAGCGCTCTAAGTAGTGTATCGGTCGACGTGACCGGAGAGTCCCGACTCACCAGCAGGAATTAATGTACCGGAAATGATCCCAACCCACAAATCTTGTTAAATTGAATCTCCTCTCCCAAAATGTTGCTTGACAGTGTGGCTCAGATAAATAGCTTCTCCTCTTCTTTAAAGTTGATTCTGTTCTTCAGTATCAGCACTTCACAGATAAGATCAGCCATTACTGAAGTTTCATTCTTGATATTGTTTGAAGACGACACAAAGGAGGAACAGATGAAAGGGCCGCTTGTACATTTTTAAAGATGCAAAGGCAGACAAATAAAAGTCTGGTTAATTACGTGTGGTTTTAAAATGTAGTCGTTAGACAAGATGCAGACGTAGGAGCACATATCACAATATTGATGTTGCTGATTTCCATGGATTTAATTATGAAATGCACTTAATCAGGCAGTAAATACTGTGTTATGTTATACATGATGGTGTTTGAAGCCTGTTTCCAGCAGATGCAGTATTGAATCTATATCATATCGCACTGCTTTCACTGGTACATCCTCTTATTTTAGGTAATTTAAAGTCCCTGACCCTGCCGGTTTCACTTTAGTTTGCTGTTTGATTCGCACAGTTTTACTTGTTGCCTTTGTCCTTTGCTCAGGCAGCATTTCACAGGCTTCAGCTGCAGAGAGAGTTTCACAACCTAGAATTTAAAAATGAACATTTAATGGTGAATTAACATTTAATCCAGAAGTCTTAAGCATCAATTAATTTTTAATCCAATCAAAGTTTAATCCAAAATGAAAGGGCACTATCATCTTTTCTTATTTAGCATAGCTAAAGCATAGAATTTTTTTTTTCTCACATTTTGTTTGTTCATAAGAGGTTTTTTTTATGGTTGAGAGAAAAGATCAGAGGCAGTTCTAATAGGTAGATCGAACAAATGTCACAGGAAAGCTGGAAACTGGAAAGTGTGCTCATGTCATCAGATGCAAATGGATAAATTAGTGCTTATCCAGTAACACCAGTAAGATTTCACTTCATCATCTTAAATAATTTATGATTATACATTCACATTATCACACATTAAAATGGAAAGCAGTGAGAATTCCTCTCTCTAGTCTCCCTCTGTAAAACAGAATCCAAACTCTGGTTTCCCCAGTGGTAATTCTGGGAAACCTTTCTCGCTTTTCCTCGAATATTATCACAAAGGCATGTAATGGACGTTTCACGGTACATTGCCTTGATTAAATTTTCACTTGTGTTAGACATCTTCTCTCGTAATGCTATTTTTATAGCCTTTTTTTTTTTTAGACATGTTTCCCACCATCAAACCTTTTGTCACAGCTCTGGTAAAAAAAAAAAAAAAAAGAAAAGCCTACATGTGATTGCATTTTGACTGCTGTTCACTTTGTCACTCTGACCTTTCAAGGCGCTCGTGCATTTAGAGCGTTTGACAAATGTTGTCAGATCTCGCCGTAGTCTTTAGCTGTGTGAAGATTTTTGTCAGCGAGTAGCAAAAAAAAAAAAAAAAACGGTACATTTGTTCATCGTCACATTTCCCACGTCTGCAATGAATAGCTATGGAGTGAAATCTATCCCTGAATAGGCAACTGTGACAGTTTATTGGCAGGGCTTATCTCAAGGCTTATGTACCATGTCTGTGTCTGGAAAAAAGGCTAACAGGTCAATAATATGATCCTGCTGTTACAGGATTTGTGTATATAGCAGCACTTTTTTTTCATATTCGGAGGCTTTCTCTGCCTAGAGATACTTTTATTAATTGCAGATTGTGTCGTCAACAAACCGTGTATATGCATGGATTATGTATGTGTTTATGTTGCATTATTAAAAGATCCTTACTACCTGCTCCTCCACAGGAGACACAGGGAAAAACTCCAGGCTCATTTCTCTGATAGTCGCAGCCTGAGAGACTGCAGCGTCAACGCCTCCGGCCTCATGTCCAAATCCACTCCCAGGCTCCAGTACAGCCTTCAGCTCCAAAAGGTGAGTCTTCACCGATTATAGATTTATTTTCGGTCGTATCTGAATCATCATTATCGCCGTTTTCATCTTTATATATAGAGTCCTTTATATATACAGTGCAGAGTTTAAAGGGCTTGACAGGATGATGTATGATGTATGTCTTAATAATCTCTCCGCTGGCTGAGGCCTTTTCCTCACACTCGTATCTGACATGGACTGAGAGGCAGAGGGGGAATTACAGTTTAAAATAAATGCATCATGCGTTATACGGGAAAAATCTGCTTGTCATGTTCACAATGACAGATTGCTGTGACAAACTGCAGATTGGAATTTATAATCTGCTGTGGTGTCAAGGACCCTGCATTCACCATGCAAGCACAGCAACAATGCTGTGAGAACGGAGAGCAGTGCCAAAAGTGTGCGCAGTCACTTCCTGCTTTAAAAGTTCTTGACTTTGCGAACACGGAGGATAGACCAGCGCCGGAGAAAAATTAGGTTACGCAATTCATTTATTGATTAATGAAGAAACACAGCGCCACGACATTTTGGAGAAAAACAGCATGAGTCAAAGGAGGAAAATCTAATCTGGGCAGCTATTTCTCATAATAAAAAATCACAAACTCTTGGGTTAAGTAAAAACAAATGACAGGGTGCGAGAAAAAACAAAAAGAAAACGGGCGAAAATGAATCGCAAGCCGCCACGGTTTGCAACAGCCGACGAGAACCAACTCTGACATGGCATAGCAAAGCAGGTGGAGGATGTAGATCGCACTGATAAGGCTGATGTCTCCACAGAAAGGTAATTGCACCCTAATGCACACTTGTAAAGGTCTCATCAAAAGAGTGCAATCGCTTGTCATAATGCATTAGCACTTTGCTGAATGCACCCTCTTTGTTTGGCATTAGAAAAATGGGAACATATTTTCTTCATTTAGTACTCTCTCCTGGATTTTTTTTTTTTTTCCTTTAATAAGATGCTATTATTTGTTTTTGAATGTATCCGGTGTGCAGCTGTCTTTTAATATTTGAAAAAGTTCTACTGATCTCTGCTTTTCCATCATGACTACTGGATGATAGAAAAAAGCAGGAACTTGACTCAATCTTATACCTTCTATAATTTGCAGGACTCTTATTTAAATATGTGAAGGTAGGCTAGGTAGCAAGCAGGCTTTACTGATTACAACAATATGGCAACTTTCAGACACGTATGATTGATAATCAACAAGCTCTGTCGCCACACAGTTGTTTTCGTTGTTGTCTGAAATTCCTTGTGCTGTCATTCCTGTGTTTATCCTGTACTGAGACTCTTTAATAATGCAGCAGCGTCTAGTGTCACCCACTGAAACAAACACCCCTGAAGCTAGCCCCACCCACGGAACTGCAGTTGGCACAATCTGAAAGCTTTTTGAGGGTGTCATTTGAAATTATGGCTCTGAGCGGTTGACAGCTAAAAAAGTGGTACAACATTTGATGTAAATGAGAAAGCTGTTAAGTAGCTGTGTTTAAGTAGGCAAAAAAAAGTTGAAATAAGCCAGAACACGGCGGCGTAACACGTTGTCAAAGTTGCTCCGACGCCAAATCAGTCTCAGCACATCGGAGTCCATTTTAAATGTATGTCAGTCAGACGCGGGCCCATATCATAATAGCAGGCTATTATATTAGCACTGTGAGATTGTGGTGACAGGAATGTATGAGGGCTCAGCGTGCAGCGAAGCCCGACCACAAAAATGCTTTCAGCGCCGGACACAAGCAGGAAGGGAAACCGAGGAGGAAGGCAGAAACACAGGACAGTAATAACACAACAGCACAGAAACACAAGCTATAATAGAACAGTGTGAGGGAAGCTTAAGGTGGGATGTGAAAGATCACCGGCTGTAAGCACCCAGGAGGGGGCATGAGCTGAACAGACCGAGGGAAGATTAACAAGTGAAACCTATTTTTCCGCAGATTTGACACAGCGACCCCAGACCACTGCTTCTTCTCCTCCCACTCCCTCGGCTTGCATCCATCTAGGGAGAGGACATGTGCTGTGGGTGGTGCAGTCCTACAAGATCTGTGTGTGTTTTTTCTTTTGAGTTACACCGACAAAAATGAAAATACTCCAAGAAGAAGAACAGAGCAGAGTGTTCTTAAAGAGGCTCAAAACATTTGGTGTATGCTGCATAACTGAGCATCAAAGCCCAAGGAGTGTTTTTTTTTTGTGCTTTTTTTTGTGTACGTGCGTGCGTTTGAGGCACTCGGGTGGAGGATGAGATGAGTGCAGTGAGCTAGAAACAAAAGAGTGGAGCTGTAAAGGCAGGTTCAGAGGGGAGGATGAAGCCGCGGTCCATTTCGGTCATTGTCTTCCATGCCAAATTTATGATAAACTGATGCAATGCTCTTTTCCTGTTTTTAACCTCCTCAAAAACATGCCCGCTCCTTGAACTCGACCAAGACATTTTCCCTCCAGGTGTGTTGAGCAGTAATCCCCAACACTCATACAGTGTATCCCGATTGTAACACAATGAAGCAATGCTGAAGGTCTGAGACAACAAACAGGCGACTAAACTCTGGATATCTTGCACTGCCTTTTGTACAAAACAGCCCCAGAGTTTTCTGTTTGACTTCTCTGTGCACCTGTCCTGGCACATGCAGCATTTGTAGATATTTCTGTCTATCTGTTCCATCTGTGGCTGCTAATACGTACACATATTTGCACATCTGGGATCACTGCTGTGCATATGTTCCCTCCATCTGTAATTCCGGTCGCGATGTGACTCGCACATGCGATGCTGTAAACAGCCGAGAGTCGTACATGATGGTATGTAAGCCCTTGATTTTAGCGCGTGAGGTGCACTGAGGTGGCTTATGCTGGGAATTTGCACTACATAAATAAAACTGAGCTGATATTGAATTGAACTCCTTTCGAGAAAAGGAAAGAAAAAAAAATGCTTTTAAGGAAATGAAAATCAAAAGAGGAATGGAGATGTAATTACGTAGTTAAACACCTCCAATCTCCTCTGAGGTTTGAATCAACACCTCCGCGGTAATAAAATTGTGTCTCCAATAAAAAGAGATAGGCTATACACTCATGAGACGGGCTGCGCTGAAACAGACATGCGGCAACATGAAGGAATAGGGCCACACAGACTGGGAGGACAAGACAAAAGCTCTATTCCCATCTGGAGTGATTCCAAGCTGAAGTGGTGCTAACTAGTCTACCCTTCTTCTAAAAAGAGACGGAGTCACCCCCAGGAACGAGTGTACTGTATGAATACTTCATGGGGATAGAGAATGGTAAGGGCCCCAGAACAGAGCCTTCTGTATCAAAGTTCACAGAAATATGACTTAAGAATATTTTAACTGAAAGCTCTGGAGCGCTACGAGTTGTGTTCACTTACACCAGAGTTAGTTTTAGTGTTCTCTGGCTGTCGTGCGTCGTCAAAGACAGAGCGGTTTGTTGTCCGGAAGACGAGGCTTTCCCCAAGGAAGCACCAATTCTACATTACCACAGTCATTTTAAAGAGACTCGCTCAGATTAAAATCAAGTTTTGTACCTTGTTAACATGTCATTGTTTCATGAGAAAAGTAAGAACCCAACCCAATGCCTTCATCTTTCCACCCTGAAACTGTAGCGTAGCATTGGCTGTCTCCAAAACACAGATTTAGACCTCACATGTACCAAACTAAAGGAGTCGTTCCTGTGATCTTGCAGGGTGGGGCTTTTCCTATTCTTCTTCTTCTTCCATTTTCCAGTGTATGAGGCTGAAATACTCCTCTCACATTGTGCGGCATAGTGGTGAGACTCAAGGACTTCACAGAGCCAGACATTTGTAAAGCAAGCAACAGTGTAGCCGTACATCTGAGCTATTTACAGGCATGAAGGGATTATTTTCACAGAAAAATTCTTCAAAATATGTAACTTTGATACACACAGAACTGGGTTTTTGGGGGGTTTAATCAATGCCTGGAGAGGAGCTTTATAGATAAGCACAAGATCGCTGATTTTCATTAATTAATTTTCATCAAATCAAATTTCTTTTTGGTTGAAATGTAAGATTTGACTCCTCAATGAAAGGTTAAAACAAGCAGGTAATCAGTAAATTGGCTACTTGATCTCAGCGAAATGAGAATTTTTCAAATGAAGAGAAAGTTTGACGTCTAACAAACTAAAGTTCATGTGCATGAAGGCATGACGTGCTCGTAGCGATACGTAAGCAGGGCGCTTGTTTGAACAGGAAATGGATTAAGAACGTAAACCTTAAACAGGGGTCACCTGACAGCTGCTATCTATACGGTTAGTGAATAGACCGACCTGTACAGCTTGGATTTTAATAATATATTCAGCAGTTGCTCATGTGCATGTCAGTGCATCGTTCTAAAAGAGCTGATTAACATTTTAATACCAGGTAGAGCTAAAATTGTGTTTGCTAGTTGTCACATCTTGACCCGGAGAGTTGACACATGTTCAACTTTAGCAGTAAACTACATTTACTGTTGCGTCGGTTTGTGCCGCTCTGCCCGAACACTGTCCTTGTTGAAGACTGGTCAAATATCCTATTATGCACAGTTCAGGACCTGTGATTTGATAGTAATCCAAAGAGGATTATGGCTGCTCTGAATGCATAGGTTTGGCCCACTCCTTATTATGTAGGTGATAGTCAACATACTGATGGCTTTTTGTTCTCTCTCTCTCTCTCTCTCGTCCTCTCCTGTATTTTCCCTTCGTCTCCCCTTGAAATAAATCCACATTGCGTCGTTGTTTATCCAAGGCTTTCATAAGTGGCGTAAAACAAGGCAGAAGTGAGATAGGAGGGAACAAACAAAATGGGTTGTGCCAGGCAGGTCTGCCATTGTCAGCCACAAGCTATTTATTCTATCCCCTGACATAGATATCATCCTCCAGGAAAGTTTGCAATGGCAATTGTTTCCGAAAGTGAGGCGTTCTCTACCTGCAGGGTATATAAGAGGGTGGCCAAAATGATACTATTTTCTCGCGCAAGTCGTGAGCAGCAGTAACAGCTCCCTCTGGGACTTTGGGGTGTAAGGGAGGAAAAAAGAGGCTTATCAGGCATGAGAACCCCTGAACCAGCTCTAAGTCACATGCAATTGCTTTAATGATGTACAATCAGACAGAGAGAAAGGGCAGAGCAGGAAGCAGTGCAGCCGGAATAACAGAATTATCTCATAACTTAATGTTTCACAGGGGTGTTCTTGGGGCATCCGTGGTCGCCGTGCCGCAGCTGTGACTGGAGCCCGGTGTAAGATAATGGTGTTCATTTTGATAAGAATAAAGGGAAAGAAGTGAAGGGGAGGGGGAGGAGGGGGTTCTTTAGGAAACCATTAATGTAATCTTGTGTGGGATTAATTCTTGAGTGAAGCAGGAGCGCTGTGAGGGCCAGTGTGGAGTTTATTCACAAAGTGTCCTCTCCTAATCTACACTTTAAAATGCAAAATGTAATTAAAGACACTCTGCCTGACAGAGGGAGGATACATCAGCGGGAGAACATCCTCAACCTGACTGGGGATTGCCGCTAAGCCACATGCAGAATTATCAGCGTTATGTATTATACCCTGAGCTTATTCCCTGTGTTTGCTTACACAGCCGCTTACACGTGAACATCTTGTTTTTTGACTTTGGTCATTAAAACAAGTGAATCAACTCGCTTAATCTCTTTGCGCAGGGTAGCAGTGAAGATGCTCTCTGAAGTCATTATCAGTGTTTTGTCACTTACTGTACTGCTTTTCTTTTTTTTTTTTTTGCAGAGTTGCAGTTCTCACGGATCATCTGTTAAGGGCGGCAGCGCGGCGCCGGGCTCATCAGCGGTAGCCGCACCTATCCTCAGCAAGGCGCTATCGAAAGGGAAACGCTTCAGGTGAAAATGTGACTTATTTCCAGCTCTGTTTCATATCTTTCACTCAGCCATCCAGCCTATATTAAGATATCAGAGGCAGCCAAGTGTGAAATTTAATCATCCTGCAATATGGTATAGTACATAGGCCTTCAAACAATAAACACATCATTTGCAAAAAAATATATCTATTTTAAGATTAATGGTGACTATAAATGAGAGCAACTAATATATTTCTTGGATATATTGCCAACTCCATAAGGCGTATGTCAGTGTGCGATCCTTAGCTATAATCAGGCATTTCATAGGAAGATTATCGGTGTAGCTAGTTGGATAAAATAAAAATTACAGGCTGTCAAAATAATTGGGAATATAGTCGTCTTTATTTACATGGCATTCCAGTAAACGGTGCAAAGTGATTTAATGTGCACTCAGGCAGATTGTGAAAGCTGCACACAAATAGGAAAGAACATGGGGAAGAGGAGACACCCTCCAAGGGAAAAAGTGAATTTTAATGTGCGGAGTTAAACACTGAGTCAACCGAATTCCTTTCTTGCCATCCTTCAAATGACAAGAAGATTCAAGAAAATTAACAACATTTTTGCTACGAGGGATCTCAGACGCGACCGCGCTTTGTGATCACAGCAGTCAGTATCAAATGCTGCCATTTCAAATCCTCAGAAGAACACAGAGATGTGGGTATAGAGCGTGCTACAAGGGCCCCATCCGTGATGTTTACAGAAAAGCGTCTTTGCTTTCATGATATGGGTGCAGGCACACTTTGACAGTTAATGACAGTCAGCCGTGCAGCGTGCAAGAACTCCTTTCAGAAAAGTTTATTTCCCTCAGCACCTATTACAAATGACTAAAAATGTTTGATTGCTTGTAAATGTCTACCTTTTGCTTGATCTTATGGCGTTGAGCAGGTTTGGATAACAGCGCTGCAGCTGTACTGCATATAGGCAAGCTGAAGGGAACAACTTGTGTGTGAAAACATATATTTAAAGCCTCATTACTTTGTTGTGTGCATTAGATACGGTTTCGGCTTTGTGTACTGAGGGTATAGGATGCACTGTGATTAAATGGAGCTGTATGTTTTGGAGATAATGGTGGATTCAGAGGTTGCGCGTACACAGGCAGACGGAGTTTTTAGATGTCTGATTGACTCTGATGACAGTGAAAAACCCCACTGTGGCAGCAGTTGTTCGCTCTTTTAATGGACCAGCGCGGCGTCACAGAGGAAAGTTTTTTTCCGAAAGGGTTGTCATATGTGGCTGCGGGGCCGGTTGCCAGCTCCTCCTGGCTTTTTGCTCTCCGCCGTGTCGTGCAGGTGCCTCATGAAGGGCAGCTGACAGTCAATCATCTGTTCTGCTTGTTCTCAGAGTAGGGGGAGGCAGGGGACAACTAGACGGTGATGGATGATGTTGAGATGCTTTCAGCTATTGACCTGAAAACTGGACCACACTGCGAGCTATCAGGAGAAACGCCCCATAAAAACATGTCAATGTGGCCCATCAATAATGCCACAAATGGTTACCGGCGTATCATCGTCTCTATCTCTGGGCAGGAGCAGATAGATCCACCTGTTTGAATGCAGAGTACAGCTGTTGAAGTGTTGAAGCACATACTAGATGCGTTATATTATTACAATAGATTATTACAATTTTATTACACTGTTATTACACTATTGTTACACTTTTATTACACTATTATTACACTATTATTACACTTCTCTTGTGGCGTCTTCTTTTACCAACAACAGTCCAAAGCCTCACGAGCAGCTTTGTGATGCTGAACAAACGTGCTCACAGTGAGGATGCTAAAATGCTGATGATTAGCAAGTATGTTGAACATACTCACTAGTCAGTGTATTTGCATGCTAACTGATGCTAATTAGCATTGCCACTTCTAAGATTGAAGTGATTTTATCTGTCACATGCTCATGTGCATCATATGTGAAGTAAGTAGAGCTGCTGTGATTAGTCGGCATAATATATGATGCTAATGCTAAAAAATGCACCAACGTTTTTTTGTTTGTTTGGGTTTTTTTAACCACAATTTACTGTGACAGTTAATTTTTTCAGTATAACTGCATAATTGTTTTGACCATCAGACATTTGGGTCCAGTCAGTGGCTGCAGTCAGAATATAACAGTGGCAGCAAAGTCTGACTTGACCCAAGGCTTGACAAAAATGGCAGCACTTCAGATTCTCCCTGAACATAAACAGTGATTTGTTCAGTGTGTAAAGTTTGACCAGCAGACCACAGCAACACAGGAACAGCTAAAGAGGAAACACACATCTGTTTGCTTCTCTCCTGCTCTCTGTGCTCACATATACTGTATTTTAATAAAGCCTGCATTCCCAATAAAGTCGCTCTTATTTACTTCTGTCGTCAGACGACAACACATGTATGAAGTAGTGACTGAAACGTGGCCCATTAAGAATTCATGTTAACCAGGAGTCACTTCCAACCTGCTGCTCTGCGCCGCTAAAAGCCTGTTTTATTATTTATCGCCTTGCCAACTCACCATACACAGTTAAAAACAATGACTGTGAATTTGGCTACGTTTTCATAGATTTTGAAGCTACTGCCAAAGTCAGAAAACCGTAATACAACAAGGAGAAGAGGAGTTGCTTTAGCTGCTCTGTGGTTGTAAAACATCCACCATGTCCGTGTGGTTTAACAAACAGACCAACCAGTCTCACTTTGTTGGATCTCTTTTGGAGTTGCTCTACTGACTTAAATAATAAGCCCTAGTTTTTCTGTTAATTTTCAATCATGTACAAGTTTCTAGTGTAACCTTATAGTTTAATTCATTAACTTGTAAATCTTTCTCTACATTTCATACCGTGCTGCATTATACAGTGACACAAAGTTTAAATGAAATGCTCATTTTGCTATTTTGAAGGAAAATGAATCATTAGAATTAGTCAATTGACTGGTTAGTTAGTAAAGAGATTATAATAATATCATAATCAACAAATATATTTCCCTCATGGATCATCACAAAAGGTGATATAATTGTTCTTGAGGTGGACCAGATGCTCTCAAGGTATTTTATTAAAAGTCATCCTACTTGTGGCACCAGATCAGAAGTCAGGGGATCGTTAGGATTCATCGTCAGGTGATGGTCCATTCCGCAGACATAATTGAATCTGGACCAAAATGATGGACTGACCCAAAGACCAACACCCCCAGATTAATGCCTGACTTAAAAAAAAAAGCACTGTGTTTATGTATCTACATTCTTGTTCACAGTGCTTGTTGCCAGTGCAGGAAAATGAAGAGATCAATCATTTTTCGGCTAATCATTTCCATTTGACACATTCCGAATAAACTCACCAGCGCAGCTCATTCTGCTGTGCCTCTTCTAGGGCATATTTCTGAGTTGCTTTGCCAGCAAAATCTGAATGCAATAACATCATCGCACTGACAGAAGTCAATCATCGTTTTCATTAGTGCTATCGCGGAATTTAATCAATCACCGGTATACCTGTGTCATGGATTATGAGGTAGCTGTAGTAAGTAGGCCGATACCCTCATTCTGAGTCAGTGAGCTGGATGAGGGGTTTTTTTTTTTTCACTTGCTGAGTAGGAAACACAGTCAGTATCCACAGAGAAGATGAGGAGTGCTGTGTGGGTGTATCCTGCTGCTTCTGTGGAGCAGGGTGTTTACTCGGAACATGTGACGTACTGTTTTTAACTCAGCTCAGGTCCTTTGTCACATGCCATCCCCCTCAGGCTCTTTTCTGTTTCTCTCTAATATGTCCAGCGAAGGCACAAACAGAGAGAGGAACTGGTTAAAGTATGCGTAAGCCCTTCCAGCCAGGCTTTACCCATTTAACATCGGGCCGCCGTGTAGGTTTCGTAGAGATAAGCAGCTGCCTTTCCATTTTAAACATTTAGCGTTCAATAATTACAACAGCCTGGTGATTTTTTTTTTTTTTTCCCCACAAAAACACATCTTTTTTTTCTTTTCTCCAGCACTCAGTTAATCCTAATTAAAAATCTGCATGCTGATAGCCGGCAAAACTGACATAATTCAGCTTTATTCATATCAACTTTTTTACAACATCACTTGATACAAAAGCTAATGCCAGCAAAGATTAGAGCCAACATTAGCGATGCTTATTGTTCCACAGCCACAGACATCAGAAAATTATTATAGCCCAACATTTTGTTGTGCCGCGTTCCCGCCAGCTGTCGATAAATAAGCAGATATCTACTGGACTATTTAGTTTACTGCATAGATTTTTTTTTATTATTATTATTTTATTTTTTTTCAAATGAGCCAGTTCAGTTTAAGGACAAGCTAGACAATCTTAAAGTTTGGACATCTTGATTACTATTGAAGCAACAAAAAGAATCACACCGCGCTGTTTCCTCGGTGCCAGATTACTCAAGAGCCAACATCAAGCTGGGAGAACGTTTGCCGCTGATTTGTGTTCGGTGCTTTCGTGCAAACAAGTTATTTACCCATCAGTAATAATACGCTTCCGATATTTTTTTCTGTTGTTCGGTTTCGCTCCCACAATCAAGTGACCTATCGATCACAGAGACAAAAACAGCACCAGGTGATTTCAGTAATATATTTAAATAAACTAAAAAATAATTCATTTTTATGGTCCGACATGTGCTGTGGGAGCTTTTTGTTCTCCCGTGTACTCAGCCATCAGACTGTAATGTAGTGCAGTATAACTTTGATTCACATTTGATGTCATCGCTTTATTGCTGCAGACATGCAGGGATCTGCTTTGAAGTAGACCACCTACTGCCCACAGAACAATCTGAGAACAGTGTGCCCGACACAGGAAGTATAGTTTCTAAAGACAGCTGCTTCAATCATTATCAGCAGCAGGATGTCGTACTGCTCACTTTTATGTTCCGGCGTATAGTCGAGCAAACGCATTTTGAAGTTCTCGCACAGAAACACTTTGGCGATGGTATATTGCGTGTGTTCTTTTACATGCAGCGGGTTTCTGTAACCACGCCGGCGGTACGAAAATGTCACTCAGAATGTCAGTCGAACATTTTGGTTCAATCAACCTTTTTTTTTTAAACTCAGTGAATCAATTATTCCAGGTTGAAGATGCACAGTAAGTAAAATTGGATTTCCAAAGTTCACTTGGCACCTGCGACGTTATCCAATCATTTTTAGAGTGTTCGAGGTGTGCTGGATTGCCATGACATTTTCTGCAGACATTGATGGTCCCCAGAAGATGAATCGTACCACGTTTAGTAATCCCGGCTTTTTCCTCTTGAGCCACAATGAAGCTAACATTTGGCTGAGAGTAAAAATGTTATAGCAGGTGCTGAATTGATTGCAGATGTTCTGGATTGGGCTGCAAGGTGGCGCAGTTGGTAGCACTGTTGCCTCGCAGCAAGAAGGTTGCCGGTTCGTGTCCCGGTGGGGGCACCGGAATCTTTCTGCGTGGAGTTTGCATGTTCTCCCCGTGCAGTGTGGGTTCTCTCCAGGTTCTCCCACACAGTCCAAAAACATGTTGAGGTTAATTAGTGATTCTAAATTGTCCGTAGGTGTGAATGTGAGTGTGCTTGGTTGTCTGTCTCTAAGTGTAGCCCTGCGATAGACTGGTGACCTGTCCAGGGTGTCTCCTGCCTTCGCCCTAAGTCGGCTGGGATAGAATCCAGCCCCCCCATGACCCTAATGAGGATTAAGCGGTGTATAGATGATGGATGGATGGATGTTCTAGATCTCCAGAGGATTGATTTGAGTGGTGATCTTCTCAAGTTATGTCATTGAGATACCTCAAACTCAACAAGATGAATTGTCTTGACTTCGGTAATCCCTTTTTTTAATGTATTTTTTCCAATCAGCTCCTGTCAGCGTAAACCTGAAGCTTTTCAAACTTAATAACAGCACTGATTACATTCATAGAAAGGTATTATAATAAGATTCATGTATCAAATTCAAGTAGTATGATACAGAAAAAGGTAAACTGCACTTTTCCACAGAAGAGTCAGAGCACATTTCTGTGCTATGATAATATTGCGACTCTAACATACAAGTACATGAAAGCATAATGTCGAAAAACTGTCCTGAAGATCACAACACACCTACACCAGAGTAGCACGGGGCACAGCCAGCACACACACACACACACACACACCCACACACACACACACACACACACACACACACACACACACACAGTGGCCTCCTCTCTTCCAGGCCGCTTCTGTGCATCAGAATATATGGTAATGAGGCAAAATCTCTGTCAAATTAAGCATCGGTAAAGGTCACTTCTGTCAGCCAAAAACAATGGCAAAACTTTGATAACACAATCATCATATACCATGGCATTTACATGCGAGGAAATCACAGCCTCATTTTATCAGTGCTGCTTGGAACAGACCTTTTCCGCCGCGCACACTGTGTCTAGCGGTTGCAGGGAAAGTGCAGGCGTAATTTATAGCATAAAAAAACAGCTGCATTACACTCAGGTGGGCTCGTCCCTGGTGTTGTGAATGCTGACTCACTGAAAATGGCTCACTGGGACACTTGATGGAGCTGAGCCATCGCTAACGAAGTTGTTTACCTGTTCTGTACCTGCCATGAGAAGTAGATCCGCGTGGAGAACTTGTACATGGGTATTTTTTTTCCCCACATGAAAAGTACAATTGACGCAATCAGACACCTGAAAACGACTACATCCTGTTCCGGTAGGTTACAAATAACGAGGAGGAGGGTGCTGATAGTGAAGTGGAGGTGTTCCTTGATATGATTTATGTGTAGACGTGTTAAAAAGTCCTGTTTGCAAAGTTAGTACCAGCACATGCACTTGTCACGTCTTCTATTGCAGAAAATTGCCTCATGTAAACAAAGCAGACAATGGTGCGCACGCCTGACGTCAAACAGATTAGTTAAGGAGATAACCTCCTCTGACATCTCCAGCTAGAAAACTCACTTTTCCTTGTCTGCGTGTCAGTAGACGGAGTTTCTCAATATCTTCTCCCTGCAGTGAGTTTTCAAAAAAGGTCAGTTTTTCAGCATTCAAAAGCTACACTTGACTAACAGCCAGCACACGTTGAAGAAGAGGCTTGAAAAGTACCTGCACAAAGCAAAAAGAAGGATCCGTCTGCAGCTTCTGTGTGCTTCATGTCTGCTTTTTTTTGTCTTATTAATTCTTGTTCCCTCCTTCCACAAGACTAAAACACACAGAAATCCAATGAAAGAAATTGCACTCTGAAATTTACAGCATAAAAAAGATTCAACACGGCGAAGTTTTCACCAAATTAAAACACAATAATAAATTATCCGCCGCATTACCATTTCGCTCTAAGCGCAAGAAATACAACCTCCAAGAGCCGCTAGCATCGCTGCAGATTTAGTTCTACCGCAGTTCCTTCTCCCCGATCTTTGATTTAGCCAAGACAAATTATTTATGTTAATTTTATTGCTCGCTGGCAAATTACTATTCTTTTCACATGTACTTGATACCCCAGTTTCATGCTCAGACTTCAGTATGAAAATAATTTATGCACAGAGTCAATTGAATGTGGGATGTGATGGGTTTTTTTTTTGTTTTTTTTCATTCAAACCTCAAACAGAAAGGTCAATGCATTCCAGCCCGTTTTACACCAATAAACACAAAAGATGAGATAAATTTGTTACAATAAATGAATTAGCGAGGCTGCTTTCAACGGATAGAGCTTTTGTAAAACTGCGTGTTCGCTCGGTGGTTTTTCACACGCCTTGTTTGTTTGCCGTCTGGTTTGCAGGAGCAGCTCCCTCTCGCTCAGTCCCGCTCAACAACGGAGGGAGACTAATTACTTCAGGACCCCGCCCATTTCCAGGGGGAAGCACAAAATATCGACCAATCTCATCGACGGATCCCGAGCGGCGGGCCACGTCTACAAACACTTGCAGGAGGACGAGTCAACAGACATGGAGCCCATAAGAAGGTGAAACTATTTCCGTCGGTTTTTTTGTTAGTTTTGCCATGTTTGTTTGATCCCGAACGAGGAAATTCTCTCCCGCCTCGCTCCACGCGGAGGTCAAATAGCCGGTTCAGCGGTGCAGACCCCCGGACTAACTGAGGTTAAGTTGGAGTGGCAGAGGGATAATTTTGGGAGAGACGAATTTATGACCGAAATGCTCTCGGTTCAAATCCGTGAACTGGCCTATGAAATCTGATCCAGGGAAATAAATGAGATCTGCAGTGCCCTCCTTCAGCTGGGACTGTCACAATTAATTTGGGAGAAAACACTTGATCCCAAGCGCTCTACAGTATCGCGGTGCTGAGGAAGATATGAGCCTGTGTGTAATCCTCGCTGCACTTGTCACCGGGGCTGCTGCTGTGAATGGAAATTTGTTTTATCTGCATGTTTTAACAGGGTTAAAAAAAAAAAAAAAAAAGCACACACACAACCACTGTGCCAAAGCTAATTATAAAATGATGCACAGGTTTCACATGAATCTCAAGCTGTCCAGAATGGTTTGATTTTGGCTCAGGAACGATGTGGAAGCTCCGTGGTTCACATATCAATGGGACCATTTATTTTCTGTAATTTACAAACTGAGCGTGGAGCCATCTCGGGTGACTGCAGCCTTCCAGAACAAGGCTGCAAGTTACAAAAGAATTAATTCCAGGTAATGAGACGTCTTAAATTCTCCTCATGTTCATCCCGGTGTCAAGTGAGGACAGCGAGTCGCCCCATTTTTTCCATCATAAGTGAAGCGCAGCTACTGGCGCCGTTACAGAAGGCATTAAAGGCAAGGAGGACTTTTGGCAGAGCCACCTCTCGCCAGTTGGCTACCGGGGGGTTTAAAACACATTTTAAAAGTACCGTCTGATCATCCTCCCTGGCAAGTGTTCAAAAAATACCCTGATGTGAAATCCTCTGTGACACATTTGTTATCAAAGAGGAAATGTTTGTCCAGTGTCCTCGAGGAAGGAGCAGATAATTTATGTAGAGACAAAGTTGTGCATTATTTCACATCAGTTTAAACTTTTTTTTTCTTTTTGCCTTGAACATTTCCAGATCATACAAAGAAATCGGACTGATTGTTTTGCTGGTCGCTAAGTCGCCTGCTTTCCTAAATAGATGAATGCGTGATGTCGAGCGGCTCCGCGGGCGTCTCCTCTTTAATAAAGTAACGCTGAAAACATTAAATTATTTTAAGTTTTATTTACAGATACAGACATCTTTAAGCCCGAGTACAGCCGTCCTATTTAGCATATGACTCAGAAACAGCCTAATTTGCTGTCAGAGTGTGCAACTTGAGCGATGGCACTGTTAACAGATATGTCTGTCATTAAAGCAGTAGTGTCCCTCGTGCATTCCACACACTTAAAAGGGCCTAGCAATGTTCCTATTAGCATGCCAACCCGATTGAGCGTTACAGTGGCTTGTAAGATACACTGCAAGCTGCCAAACTCTTTATGTGACCTATTTCCATAATTTACATTTTTAAACAAAGCTCCATGGAGCTCAGCAGTTCTTTCAAATGCTCGTGCAGAGAGATCCTCCAGGAGCAGTTTCCCTCTTAGCACATGCTCACAAGTGTGCACAAGTGCGCGCACACTCATGCGGGATAACAAACAAACTAATAAAGAAACTAATGAGAATTCTTTTTGAAAATCACAAAGGCAAAATCTGTAAGCTATAGGCAATTAAATCTAACACGGCTTTCTCGAGTGTTTCAGGAGAGGAGCCGAAATGAGAAGGCTTCCACTCTTCTCGGGGAATGGATGAGTGTGCAGTTCAACAATTTAGATCTCATTAGCCATTGATAATTCCCTCACACATCCATCACTCAAACGTGGCTTTTTCGCCGGCCTTCAGGAGGCTGAAATGACCTATTTCTCGACTTACAAGCCACACAACACCGAGCTACCGAGCTGGCAGCCCCCTCCTTCTCCTCCTCCAGCCCCCACGTCTCCCGTGTTGCCATGGATACACCCTCTCATCTCTGGAAATGAGAAATGGCAGGTGGAAAAGGAGAGTGAGAGAACGAGAGAGAGAGAGAGAGAGAGAGGGGGGGAAAGTGAGGAAAGAAGGAAGACAGAGCAGAGATGATGAGAGTGCAGAGAAGTAAAGATGGAGGCAGCGAGTGTGCCGTAGTGGAAAGTGTTTTTTATGAAAAAAGAAAAAAAAAGAAAAACGACGCTAGAATAGCAAACAAACACGAGAAATGCTCATCCGTGTTTTCCATTTTGTGACAACAAATCCCTGCAGAGTATTGTCAGTTTCATTATCCAGTGTCAAAACATATATTTACCCATCGCAGATAGGGACAGAATTGGAGGCAAATTTGCCATGGGAGTTATTTTTAGATATGTTTTGATCTGACGGATTTACCTCCAGCTCTCGTTCGCCCTTCTAATACCAAGAGGGGAGTGGGAAAGTAATTCAATTATTTAAACTTGGTTATGCTACAAACAGTCTCTGAAGGCTGACAATAACACTGGCTGTCTCCTAAGGCTGCCGGGGTGATTCTAAATGTGAATTGAGTCGTCAGTAACGATATTAACTCTTGTGCACATTTAGCACATAGACAAACTTTACCTGCTTGACTTTATAGTTTTTCTTCTTCTGCAGGATGTTTTTTTGTTTTTTTCATGCTGCCTTTTAAGCTCATCCGCACCGTTCTGTGACATTTCACTTCTACGATACGTTTGCAGCATGCATCATCGAGCAAATGTCCTTGCTGAGTCTCTCACACCCACGTATGCACTCAGATTTACCCTAAATGTTACATCACAGGCCCGTCAGACGGAGCGCGCTCCATGAGAAAGTGTCATGAGTCTCATTTTTCGTAAACTAAAATTAGAACGCATGTGAAGCAGTGCATGCGGGCAGTATGTAACGTTTCCACACAGCCACGCAGGCAAGGGTCAAGAATCCAGCTGCAGTGTTTCTAAAGCCTTAAATCTCTGATAAGGCAGTCACGAGAGAAGGGATTTCTTAGTTAAACATTCATGCAGCAACAATACAGGCTGCTCATGCCAAGGATTATAAATAATTACACAAAGATTAGGAAAGAACAATACCTAAATAATGATCGTTTTCTTGGTGGAAGATGTTTTTTCGTCCGTGGAGCTGGAATGAAATGGTAAAAGAGAAAAGCACCTTTTTATCTCCGTGTTCTATATTCTCCATCTTTCTCCTTTATTCCTCCTAGGATATGAGTTTTCTAGGATGAAAAGGTCACAATATAAATGACTTTGTCTCTTATTCTCACCCTGCCATCTCTATTCTTTCTTCTGCCTAAAGGTGTGATTCTGCCACTGGAAGGGTCGGCGCCCTCCTCAGCAGGACCTCACTTTCTCACTTCACAGCCAGAAAAGGATGGACTGAGGTCCCCTGCACCCGCTTAGATAAGGGAACGACCTTCCTCCCGCCGTCCCTGCGCACCCGCTCCGTGCCCATCATCCCGTCGCTCCAAGCATGCGACCTTGAGGCGGGGCATTCGGACGCGAGCGACCGAAACCGAACAGGGCTCCTCAAGTGGCACCCTATGCTGGCTGGAAAGTCGGGGATGCCCGTTAGCAATTCTTCCTCTCCTCCCCCCGAGACTGTCGTATTGGCAACCAGTGTTATGCCCAGCAGTGTTAGCCCTCCTGCCACCGCCGCCACCACTACCGCTGCTCTGCTGGGGTCGGAGAAGAACCTCAGCTCGGCGCAGACACCCTGCTCCTTTGAAATCACGGTGGAACTTGCGCAGGAATTCAAACAAAAAAGCCATTCCAGCTCCATGAAAACGTCCGGGTCTCACGGCGAGATCCACGGCACAAACACTCTCGAGGCCGGGTCCGCGCCGGGAGGGAAAAGCGTCCAGTATTCAGCCAGAGTTGTGCACACGGGCAGCGGGACCAGAGGTTTGAAGACAGCAGGCCAAAGAGAAGCCCAGGGACAGTGCCAAGGTCAGACATCTCTCGCGTACGGAGGCGCTAACAGCTTCGTGGCCACCAAAGGACCCAGTTGCAGAGGAGCTGGGAACGCTTACGCCAAGCCGTCCGCGAGCTGATTGGATTAACTCTGTAAAGCTTCGAAGACATTGTTTCTCGATAACTGCATACCTTCGCTGGTGGCTCAGGATGGTTTAGCAGGTGGGACCATCTGTGTGGCCACATGGACCAATAACAGATGGCTATCAATTCCTTTTTTTTTTTTTTTTTTTTTGAGGGAACACGAACAGATTGAACTGCAGAGGATTAAAAAAAAATAAACAATAATAATAACAAAAAAAAAGAAACATTGACACAAAAGACAATGAAATAACAAAGAAAAAGAGACAAACAAACACACACACATTGTGAATAAATGTGACTCAATAAGGAAAACAAACCCGTGACTTGAGTGGGAGCTTGACTTAAACAGTGTATTGAAAAAAATGCCACTATTTAAAAGGAGCTTCTACTTAGAAACCAAAATAGTGTGTCATCTCTATGTTGTTTCTCTATTGTAAAGAAATGAAATTATTTATGTCATATAATATATGTCATATAGACGTATATATATTTGACATACAATTGTGACAAAATAAAGACTAAGATAACAGTGTTAACTAAGGGCTTTGTTCATCTCAATCCATGTTTTTTTTTTCTTTAATGTACCAAAAACAATGTATCATCACTTTTAACACAAAATAAGGCAAATATTAACCCTTTATCTACACGGCAACAGACACCTGTAGCTTGCATTTAAACTTTCAGTGTGGATTTATTCTAATAAGCACGCCCACGCAGTACAGTGTAATGTATTCATGCTACAGTAATTTATCAGGTTTTTCTGTATCTGCTTTTCCCTCCCATCATCTCACAATGGAAGACTGTGAGAAACCAGTTGGTCAAAGGGTTTGCTGGTGGAACTGGCGACGAGAAAAAGGTGCCTCAGATTGTGCGAATGATCAAAGTGCTTCAGAAATGTTTCCTCTCTCTCTCTCCGAGTGCGGCGTTCTACTCTTTGTTCATTACTTTCCCTGATAAGCGTCGGTACTGTATCCATAGGCTGCAAACACAAAAGGAAGACCTGCTTCACTGTGCTGAATTCTAACAATGGCCATGAGGTTTGTGGATGGAAATGAAGCGCAGCAGCATACAAGCCGAGTACAATTCTTTATTTATGCCTCATTTACGTCAAATTCGGTATATCTCAGTTTCCTCCCCTTCAGGTTCGCAATGACTGCCGGCAAGGTAGGTAGTACAGGACTTACAAATGGGTATTACTCAGATTTCTTCATCACTTCTCGGCAGAATAAAACTATCTCGAGTCTATAAGAAGGGTTTTGTGAAGATGAAAATGAACTTCATTGATCCCCGAAGGGAAATAGAGCCTAGGCAGCTGCAAAGGAAAGATAAAATTACCATAAATAGAAAATATTTTTGCATTCTAAATACATACGGTGACCAGTGGCTGGAAAGAATTCGGCACAATTTTTCTCAGAATTTTCAGATGCTGACGAATTTGCATATTACCGCGTTTACCCGACAGTGATTGCAAAAGGCAGGTGTGCAAATAATGCTGAATTAAACTGCATAATGAATGCAGATATTTCTATACGGAGCACAAGTGGTTTGAGGAGTATGGAAATCATATATATATATATAAATATATATGTAAATGCTACCCCCGTGGTGGTATTATGACTCAGATTCACGTGTCTGCATTGTTATTCCTGGTATTATTCTATTATCCAGTATGTACAGAGATCCGTGCAGGACGTAAATGTGGAGGAAAGAAGCAAAAGCATCTCCATTTATGGGAACAGCTACTTTGTATGCAACCTCATCATTAAGCTGGAGATAAAATGCAGATGCTGGGAGCACACAGGGAAAAACCTGTAGAATATAAATCAAATGGCCTTGTGTCTGTGACCAGCAGTTTGGATTTCCTCGTCCCAGATTATACCAGCTGTCTAAAACCGGTTTAGCCACGCTTTATGCTTTTCCTGTATTTAATCATCGTACGTGCTCCGTCTCCTCTGGTCCATAATGCTAGCATCTGATTTTATTTCTTGAAAGTTAAAAAGTCGTTTTGCAAACTTGTAAAATGTTGTTTTTTTTAATTTTGTGCACATCTTGGCTTTTTCAGAAGGATTCAACAAGTGGCTTCATCCAAAACGCCGCCTCGCACGGCGCTGCAGTCAACGCTCGGCTCCCAAAAAATGACTGATCTGCTCTCATGCGAAACTGCCAATTGTCGCCAATTGTTGCTTGACATCTTCAGTAAAAATATGTTAATTGATCTTCTTACTTTAACAATAAATTCACACAATAAGAAGTGTGAATAGTATGACACGTTCACTCCAAATAGCTCGGCATTGTAGTCAAATGGGAAGCAGGAAACGATGATACTTTAATAGATTCCTGTCAGAGATGTCTCCTCGCAGTGTGGCACTAATGAGAGGCCATGTGGATTTGAAAAACAAGGGATCAGACTTTGATCACACTGAATGCTGGAAACACTGTCTGAAGCATCATTTGAAGGAGTCCCAATCTCACTGTTTGCTGACTGGGCCCTCCTGCTCAAAAAAAAAATGGAGCCAACGAACCAGGGAAGACCTGCCCGAAGGAATTATGCTTTTGTCAATATCAGCGGAACACCCTTGCCCACACTTAATAAAGGCATTAAGTTACAGTTCCTGAGTCTATTTGCGGACGGCATGAGAGGATGCTGACTATGTGAGGGGGCTGCGACGCACACAAGGAAGGACAACAATGAGGAAGACAAAAAAAAAAAAAACAAGTAAGTGTTCCCATTACCTGGAATGAGTCAGGTTTGTTGGAGGTGGGCCCTGCAACTGTTCAATTAATCCTCTCCGGTGTTGACTCTTTCATGTTTCTGAGGAATGTCGCGCTCACACCGGTCTCTCTCGCTCGGCGTGAGAGGAATACTAATGAGCCAGAGGTGCAGGGGGACGGTGAAGTTCCCCACCAGATGGCAAAGAGATTATGAGGACAGCAGGCCAGCATGTGTAATGCAGCAGTACCAGTGTGGATGTCTGCTAACATCTCTCACCAGCTCCCCTCGACGTGGGATATCAGGTGATATTTAACACGGCCAGTGGTCATGTTAATACGGCTTTCTCTCCTAAAAATGAAATATGCCTTGTTTGTTCTTGTGTGACAGCTTGTGAGTATACAGGACGTTCAGTAGCTGAAGCAGGATCCCCTTTGCTACCGTGCGTCCATAAAGCATGCAAAATCGTTTAATATCTAAGTATTACTGCTTATGTGGGCGTAGATTTTTTTTGGAAAATGGCGGAGAACATGAGGCAGGGGTCTGGGTGCCCTTCTCTGGGGAAATCTGAGCTTTAAACTCTTAATTTCCTGCATTCTGCTGCATATTTTTGTGCCTTTTCTGCATTAGTTTGTAGTGGAAATGCCAAAGAAATTTCCTTTGCTTCTGTTCCCTGCATACCAATGAAATCTACCTTCATGTCTGCATAGCTCCACCCCCTGAGGTGAACGGAGCAAACGTGCTTTTCCTGCTATGACCATCACCAAGCGTTACCTGTGTGACCCTAATCAGCAAACATGCCAAGCATCACACCGTTATAGTAAACATCGGCGCTGTGAGCATGTTCGCAAGGCTGCAGACGCTTGGCTTTGTTGTGTATTCGTCGTGCGATTGTTTGTTGAAGATGGAAAAATGCCTCATTTAAAAACATAAAACTTGTGGTAATATTGTGCTCACCTTTAAAAAAAAATGTAAGTGGAGATAGCCCAGGAGAAAAACAGCAGAGAGGCTCGCAAAATATAATCAATCTTCTGGCTGCATTGTCATTTGTGGTCGCCGCTGTTAACACAAAAAGGGGTCCTCCCTGTATTGTGCAAAATGGAGACCAGAGAGAAGACCTTCCTCTTTGAGTTTCAGGACCTGACAAGACTTGACATTTACTAATTATGTTTCTGACAGCTGATTTTTTTTTATTTTTTTTCCTTATTAAATTCTGGCTGTCCTGGAAATATCTCACTCCCTCTCACACAGCATACTTATGGTCAATTATCCATGTGAATAAGACGAGGGATTATTTTTCCATTAGGCACGCCTGCTCTATATCATTTCATATTGTATTCTGTTACAGCAGTTAGCATGTAGTTGCTGCAGTTTATCAGTGGAGCAGCGTTATTGTGATGCAACGGTACTTAACAACAATAGTCCATCTGCTCTCCATTGCCACAATGCTGCCCAGACATTGTGGGCTCCGATCAATAAACAAATGTTTACAAACAGCAAAGACTATAAATTGCTCACAGAGCTGGCAACGCGACTTCCACGATGTGACGCAGCAAAATAAATTAATGAATATCTGTATATTCGGGCACCAGCAGCAAGACACTGCTCTTATTAGCGCTCCCACCTTTTTACCAAGCGTTGCATATCTGTTGAAAACAAATCATTTTCAGCATTTAGAGAGAAATGCTCTTGGAAATATGTGACTTTAAACATTGTACTTGTGCTACGAGCATCCAGCGGCAAACCTGCCACAAGCTCTGGAGCGTCAGGACAGAACCAGCAGGCTTGTTTTTCATGAGATTTTTTTTCTCTAAGACCACAGTGCAAAAGCTCCGTGCATCTTGAAACATGCACAGATCATTAAGCCCACCATTGGGAATCATATCACATATTTCTTCTAACAAAGTTTGACATTGCGCTTAATGACCAGCCCAGACATATGGACGGGGGAGAACCAATTAAAACAGCTCCAAAAAGAAAAAAAAAAACACCCTGTAAAAATAACTTGGATGGACTGTGCAGCTTCCTCGAGGTTGGCAGTTTAAATTTCCTGCTGGCAACGGAGTAAAATAAGGTCACTGAAAAATTTCACGACTAACGACCTTAATCATTAGGGCTTTGGTGACATATGAAGCGGCTCATAGTTATTCACAAACTTCTCTGGGTTTGTGCTGTAACATCCTGCCCCACCTTCAGTAGGTCACAGGTGTACACCAGGCTTATGAAAAAAAAAAAAAACACTCTCAGTGACGTCTTAAACAAACACGAGCTTCTGTGAAAACTGTCAGAAGTGCAACTGTTCACATACAGCCTTCTCTTCCTGTTGGTCGTGTACTTTCCGGCCTTAGTGACACGCAGTTCCATGTCATCAGTGACACAACGGGCCAAAGACATGCAGCATAATGAGGACCAGATGCCCTGCAAGGACTGCAGCAGAAGAAGCTCTGTCT